TTTGCATTTGGCCTTTCAGGCCCTTTTGGGCACCCCTGGGTTAACACAAAAGCTGCGAATTATAGGTTCAGGCGCCATTGTAACAAAATCGAAAAGCGGCCTTGTTTTGGAGCAAACATTGGGTTGGAGCGCATTCCCGGCCCCCTTTGAGGTCCCTTTGGGCACACTTCTCAAGCACGTGTTTAAAGATTGGTTTCTCTGAGCTCATGGTGTCCAAAGATTGGTCACTGTGAGCCAGAATGCTTGTAAAACAACTCCTTGTATAGGGAGGCAGGGTTCACGCGAAGCATTCTCGAAGTGGCAACATAGCTGAGGAACACAATGGTTTCGCGATGCTGCCTTTGCATCTACATCATGTCGACACTCCGGCTGCCTTGGTGCCTAGAGCAGCCAGCCAGCTCTCTACTAGAGATGCACCCAATGTTTCAATTCCTGGCCAAGAAGGTGCAGGTTTTCAAGGCCCCCTTCTCAGCAAGAAGTTTGAGTTGAATGTGGATACCAACGCGTTGCGATTCCTAGTTACGCCCATTAAGGTGCATATTTGGCTCGGCCCTTACGGGGGCCACAGAAGCTTTGCAGCACATGTGAAAACGGCTTTCCGGGTGAGCTTTACCTTGCCACGGCTGACTCAAAATACGCCATGGGTCCATGCAAGCATCCAAGGTCCAAAACCCACAGTCCTGTACTCCAATTACAGGGAGCTGATTCACAATCTCTATTTGCCCTTGAGTTCTGAACAACACTATTCTGCTGAGATGAGCGTCAAGCCAGGGCCCGCGCGTGAGTCCAGAAAGAGCTTGCTCCAAGTCCTGCCGCGACCCAAGGTATACAAACGCTGCTGGCGTTCGGCGAGTTCAGGGGGGTTCTCAGCTCAAAGAGAGCCAACACTATCCGCCCCTTTTCGGGAGAGCGATCGCAGAAAATGTGATCGGCAATCAGGACCCTTCAGCTGCGCGCGCGCATTTCGACTCTGACCTACCACCCTTTGCAAATTGTGTAGGACATGATCGCACGAACCGTCAGGGAAAGGAGGCGCGTGCAGCGAAACCAAAAATGCTTTGGGGGCGCGAGCGACAAAGGCGCCAACTCCTGGAGAGCCCAGCTGCAAAGGAGGCGCAGGACCCTGGCCTCGAAAGGGTTCACGGGTTTCGCTTCGCGGGTTTCATGGCGGGGTTGGGCTTCACGGGTTTCATGGGTTTCGCGGGATTCACAGGTTTCGCGGGTTCACGGGTTTCACGGGTTCACGGGTTTGGGTTTCACGGGTTTCTTGGGCTCACGGGATTCCCGGGCTTGGGTTTCACGAGTTCACGGGTTTGGGTTTCACAGGAATTCGCGCGTTTGGGTTTCACGGGTTTTTCAGGAGTTTTTGTCTTGAAAGCGTTGCTGGTGACGCTAGCGGTGTTGCTGGTGATGCTGGGGGTGTTGCTGGGGGCTTTTTCAGCGTTGCTGGTGATGCTGGGGGTGTTGCTGGTGGATTTTTCAAGACAAAAACTGTTGGAGTTTTTGTCTTGAAAGCGTTGCTGGTGATGCTAGTGGTGATGCTGGGGGTGTTGCTGGGGGCTTTTTCAGCGTTGCTGGTGATGCTGGGGGTGTTACTGAGGGATGTTTCAAGACAAAAACTGTTGGAGTTTTTGTCTTGAAAGCGTTGCTGGTGATGCTAGTGGTGTTGCTGGTGATGCTGTGGGTGATGCTTGGGGTGTTGCTTGGGGCTTTTTCGAGACAAAAACTGTTGGAGTCTTTGTCGGTTTGGGTTTCACGGGTTCACGGGTTTGGGTTTCACGGGTTCGCGGGTTCACGGGTTCGGGTTTCACGGGTTCACGGGTTTGAGCTTCACGGGTTCACGGGTTTGAGCTTCACGGGTTTCACGGGTTCACGGGTTCACGGGTCTGGGTTTCACGGGTTCACGGGTTTGAGCTTCACGGGTTTCACGGCTTCACGGATTCACGGGTTTGGGTTTCACGGGTTTACGGGTTCACGGGTTTGGGTTTCACGGGTTCACGGGTCACGGGTTTCACGGATTCACGGGTTTCACGGATTCACGGGTTCACGGGTTTGGGTTTCACGGGTTTCACGGGTTCACGGGCTCACGGGATTGAATTCACGGGTTTCACGGGTTCACGGGTTTGGGTTTCACGGGTTCACGGGTTCACGGGTTTGGGTTTCACGGGTTCACGGGTGAAGGGATGGGTTTCGCAGTTTCGGGATTCGCGGGTATTTTTTCGGGCTTTCAGTTTCTTTGGCGCGTGCCAGGATCCTGGGTGGGCCAAGATGGCAAATCTTCGGCCGGTTATCGCTGCGTTGTCTGACGCGGCGGGTAATTAGATACATGTTGCTGCGTTGCTTCAGCGTGCGCATCAAGCTTGAACAATTGCCAGGGTGGCCAAGTAGATAGGCTTGCTGCTGCGCTCCTTCAGGGCAATTAAATTGGCATTTTGCTGCACTGCTTCAGGGTTTTTGCCAAGTTTCAATGAAATTTGCCCCTGCCAGCACTACCCGTGAAACCGTGAAAAAACCGTGAAAACCCCGTGAAAAACCGTGAAATTTCATGGGTTCTGGATTTCAGCCTGTGGCCCGTCTTATGGGTAGTGCTGGGGCTGGGCAGTGCTAGATTGATCCAAACGGGTGCTGCTCGGTGTTGAAAAAATGTCTCTTTAAACGAGGGTTTCTTGAGGCCGCGCGCGAGATTGAGCGTTGCTATCACATTTCAACTCTGCACTGCAATCTAGTTTGCCTTCAAGGGTATTGGTTGCTCAAATGCCAACCGAGCCGACCATAGTCCGGATGAGGGGAAAGACCCCAGACCCAAGGACTTCCAAGAGCCCCAACCCAAAGCGGCTCAAAAGGGCCGAAAGCAAGTTGAACCTGCTGGAAAAGCCTTCTCCTGCCACGGCTTCCACAACCAGCCCGTCCAGTTTGCTGAAGGATGTCAAATCCAAGCCCATCAAGAGAAAGCTTTCCTTCGACATGACCCCGGTAGTCACTGAGATCCAGGCCGAGAACGCTCCAGGCCAGAAAAAGCCGAAGGCCAAGCCTGTGAAGCAAATGAGTGAGGATGAGGCCAACTCCATTCTGAGTGCGATGATGGTCATCAACCAGGACCTTCCTCGCACTTGTTTCAAAACAAAATCATTTTCGCGTTTGCCTCTGCGAGGAGGACAGCCAATCTGCTTCAGCGTCTTCAGCTTCCGAGAGCGAGGCGCAGGCAAGAAGCAGCGCGCGAGTGTCAAACCCTACCCTCCATCAATCTTTCTTGTTTATTGGCAGGACAGCGAGGCATGCAGCAGCGAGCATGATGACAGCGATGACGAGGAAACATCGCTGCAAAGGAAGAAGGAGAAAGCAGAGAAGGAGAAGCAAGAAGCGGAAAATGAGGAGAAGGAGAAAGCAGAGAATGATAGGAAGGAGAAGGAAAAAGCAGAACAACTGGAGAAGGAAAAGGCTGAAAAGGAGAAGAAGCAAAATGCAGAAAAGGAGAAGGATAAGGCCGAACAGCAGAAGGCTGAGGAGAACAAGGAGACGGACGAAGCAACGAGCCAGGAGATGAAGAAAGCAGAGAAGAAGGAGAAGGAGAAGGCAAAGAAGGAGGCAAAGGAGAAGGCGAAAACAGTGAGGAAGGAGCAGGAGAAGGCAGAGAAGGAGGTAAAGGAGAAGGAGAAAGCAGTGAAGAAGGAGAAGGACAAAGCAGAAAGGAAGCAGAAGGAGAAAGCAGAGAAGGATACGGAGAAGGCAGAAAAGGAGAAGATTGAGGCAGCCGCAAAGAAGGAGAAAGACAAAAAGGAGAAAGCGGAGAAGGAGAGGAAAGAGAAGGCAGCGAAAAAGGAGAAGGAGAAAAAAGCAGAGAGGAGGGAGAAGGAGAGAGCAGAGAACGAGAAGAAGGAGAAAGCAATGCAGGAGAAGAAGGAGAAGGAGACAGCAGAGAAAGAAAAGAAGGATAAAGAAGAGCAGGAGGAGCAGGAGGAGCAAAAGAAAGCAGCGAAGAAGACGAAAAAGGAGAAGGCTGGCACGAGCAAAGCAAGCAAGCCAGAGAAACGCAAGCACGAGCAAGAGAAGGACACAACGCCAGTGACAAAGAAGAAAGTGAGAGCTGAGGAGGGAGAGGAGGGAGATAGCAGCGCATCCACATCCACCTCAGAGGCAAGCAGGGTGATTGTCGGCGGTCTTCCCCCTAGAAGAAACAGCTACCCCAAAACTGATATCAGGCGCTGGCTGGCGCCGGGGTCTATTTGGGATTACCTTAGCCGGAAGGACGAAAAGCAAACGGAAGATGGAGGAGCCGCAGAAGAGAGCGGCGGAGAAAGCGATCAGAAAAGCGCAAGTGAAAACGAAGAAGCTGAGGAGGAAACCGCGCGTGACCAAGAACAGGAAGAAGAAACTAGCAGCGATGAGGAAACCACAGGCAGCAACGATGAAAAGGACGCCGCAGAACTTGAGGAAGAGGATTCTGTGGAGTCTGTGGAGGAGTTGGAGGAGGAGTTGGAGGTGGAGGAGGAAGAAAAGGAGGAGGGAGGATCGGCAGAAGAGCAGAAGCAGCCAAAGCAGAAGAAGCAGAAGCGTGAGGGAAAAGATGAGGGAGGATCAGCAGCAGAGGCAGAGCAGAAGCAGCTGAAGCAGAAGAAGCAGCAGCATGAGGAAAAGCAGAAGCATACCGGACACAAGAAGCTTGAATCCGCAGAAGCCAAGATCAATTCTTGCACCCACCGAAAGGAGTACGCCGCGTTCCAACGATGGCTTCACAACCGAAAGAGGCTGCCAGCAAAGATGCAGGCAGCTATGCAGAACGAGGACTGGGCTTTGTTTCGAAAACGAATCGTAAAAAGACTCTTCCCCTCTGGACGAGTGCACAGTTGGATCCCTGTCAGTCAAAGCAGAGCCTGAAAAAGGGCACTTTTCCTGGACCACCCTTTGCTCCAAGCAGGAAATGTGAAAAGGCCACTCCCTTTCCGGATTGCCCCGCAAAGCTGCCAGGCTAGCCGGAGCACGGCTTTCAGGGACTATGTGGAATGCGGCGGGGATGTCGCCCAGGTTGCGCTTCGATTTGAGCAACGGCTAGAAGAGAGCCAAAAAACGGAAATCAAATGGGGATTCCGAGGTGAAAAGTGGTTGCAAGACCGTCACGGTCCCAAGAAGGCTGATAAGTTGATGACTCGGAAACGGGAGTTGGGTCTGAGTCTTGTCAGCACTTTCTTTGCCCACCCACCCTGCCTCACTGCGTGTGCGTGGTTGGGCGCCCTTTCCTGAGCAGCGGCCAAGGACAGTTGCCGACCCCGAGCTGCCGGATGACAAAGAAGAAAGACTGTTTTTCACAATGATCAACTGCGATGTTTCCAGCATCACAGAACTCAAGCGCATCACGCAGCTGGAGATGGAGGGCTGCATCGACAAAGAAGGTTTGAAAGAATTCACAAAGGCACGGCTTAAGAGTTCCAACTGCGCCGCAACAGATTCGGCTCTAGAGACACGAACCTTCAACCCCTTCCCCCCGGACCCCGAAAATGATGGCTTGGTTTCCCTTTTTTTGACCCACCCCGATACTTTGAGAAGAAAAGGAAAGCCTGAAATGACGGTTTGGTCCCTTTAACAAAAGGAGGGCGCGCCTTGAAACAGTTGCATGTCAAACAAGGGGAGCCCAAAAACGATGGCTTGGTTCCCCCTTAACCCGTCCCACGAAACGAGGATTTGCGCGTGTGTGTGTGCCGACATGGGGGAAACAAAAACAGATGGTTTGGTTTCCCTACAGACCACCTCAAGAAGGAGCACTTACCTTGACAAGGCGTTTTTGCCAAAACAGGAAATTCCAAAATGGCCCTTTAAACCCAATCGGCTTGCTTTGAAAAATACGTCTGAGGAGTATTTTCTCTTTGCGCTGGAAACACAATCCGCACAAGGAGGGTTTACTTTGAAAAAACCAAAGAGGGTTTTCTGCGCACCTGAAAACGGCTGGCTTTTCTGTAGGCCAACTCAAAAAAATTGGTTTACCTGTGTGCAGAAATAGGGAGGTTTACCACACCAATCTCTGGCTCCGCACGCTCCTCGACAGGGCGGCGGAGTGCTGGATCCTGCGGCGCAGTTGAAGATTGTGGACTTCACAGGGAGGGCTGGGGCTGAGAAGTTGGCCAACGCAGCCGGATCGGGGCAAGTGGACGCAAAGCAGGGCAAAGGGGGAAAGCCGAAAAAGGAAAAAGGGGAGAGCGGATCTGTCCCAAAACAGGTGCGTTTTTTGTGTTTTCAGGTCCGCAAGGATTGCCCCGCCCAGCCAGGTGATCCCAGAGACTCCACTGTCTAAAGCGCAAGCCCTGCTGACTGGCGTGCTTAAGATCGTCAACGAGTGTAGGTCAGCCACCCAGGTCCTTGTTGTTCTTGTCGTTGGCGCCAATGAAAGCCGCTTCCCGCCTAGGAACCACGCATTCCGGCTACAGCCGCTGAAAATGAGCTCAGATTTGATCAGCCAGCTCTTGGCTGTTGGGGTGAAATTGGAATCCCTGGCAAATCAGCTTCAAGAAAACATCAAGAAGGGCAAGGACAAGAACCGCTACTACGTTACCATTCTTACGGAGGCCTTGATTTGACATGGAATGTGTTTTTGCCAGCGCTCGGCTTTGCCAGGTTGACAAGTATTCGCGGATGGCTCGTGAGCGAATAGAGCTGGGCAAGGCTTTGGTGCGGGCGGCCGAGAAGGCTGCGAACCCCAAGGCTAAGCCTGCTGCCAAACCAGCAAAGAATGCCACAGGCGAGCCAGCCTAAGTGGCTCGAGGCAGCGATGTCGATAGATGTGGTCAGTTTAAAGGCGCTTCAGATTTGGGGTCTACCTTCACTGCGTTTTGTTGAAACCATAGTCTTGAAACATGCAAATAGTTTGGTTGAGGGGTTGCAGTGAAGGCTCAGCGCCCAGTTGGCTGTCACTCGACTCTCAATCGCAAGAGAACCACGGGCCGAAAAAGAGTGTGAAAGTTTGCAGTGACCATCCACCCGACAAGCAAGCTTTCCAGCTCGCCTCCCCTTCGCAGGGACGCTCCAAGATCTCGCTCGCGATCCCGATCCCGGTCAAGAGCCAGACCAGCGCGAGGAGGCATGGAGCGAGTTCTCCAACCTGACAGCAATTGAAAAGCCACCGCTAGGATCTCGTCTCCGTCCCCCTCGCCATCTTCGAGGCAGGTCATTCGTTTCGCGTTAACAATCGAAACTGTTCTCTGCGTGCCAGGTAGGGAGCTCGTTGATGCTGGAAGCGGCTCTGCCAAAAGGATTTTCAAGAAGATGTGCACAGGGGCCAGGGTTCCAAAAGAGTTCCACTTTGAGATGCCAACACGTGACGCCAAGATAGTTGGCTCCGTGCTGTCAAATCCCGCTCGCTCTTTTCGAACAAGTCACAAAGCAAACACTTGCACCCTTTTGCGAGGACACGGAGACATGTGTTCCGACCCCCCCCTTTACCCACCAGCCGCCCTGCAAGGCGACATCAGTGAGTGATGGCTGCAATGAAGCTGCTCAACTTCTGAAAGATGGCTATATATGCCCTCTGGCGCAGCTTCTAGCTTCTTGGGGTTCAACAAGCCACGGCGAACGGTCTTTTCAGCAGACTCTTCCTCGTCACTAGCAATGATGTTTTGTTTTTGATTTCAGGGTAAATATCATTTTCAAAGTTGAGCTGATGCTTCGTCAGGTGGTGTCGCATGAATTGCGAAATTCAACCTGCTGTCGCCCCACTCTCTCTGGCTGGCGGCAAGAATGATATTGGTGTCATTTGGCCATGGGATATTCTGCATTGGCTCTGGCAATCAAAGGGTGACCAAGCTTTCGCAGAATGGGTTCATGATCCCCCAAGAGAAGCAAATTCAAGAATCAAGGAGTATTGGGAGAATTTGTCCCACATGCCCTTCTACGAGGATCTTGGCCTAACAGACCCTGCTTCTACAATACCAATTTCTTGGCACGTCGACGGGGTAAAAGTGTACAAGACCCAGAAGGCCTGGGTGTATTCCTTTTCCAGCAGTATTCGAAAGGGCCCCAGTTTGCAAACAAAGTTGCTGTTTTTACTTTTCCGGGATTCCCAAATGCACAAGCCGTTCACCCACGACGACGTGGCCGATTACATTGCCTACGCTATGCGAGTTTTGCAATCCGGAGTTTTCCCTTCAGTGGATTTTGACGGGCGCCCCTTTGAGCCGAGTAGCAAGGGGGCAGCCCGTGCTGGCCAAGCAATCGCAGGAGGATGGCGCTTCGCCTTCTCCGCGTTCAAAGCGGACCTCGAAGCACGTGTTATGGTTCACAAGTATGTTCGAAACTGGTCATCGCACTCAATCTGTGAACATTGTTTGGCCTCGAAACTTCCAGCTTTTGGGTACGGGGACTTTAGCAACAACGCTGCCTACTTTGAATGCATGCTGTCTCACAGGGAGTTCCTGATGTTGAACCCCCCTACAAAGCAGAGCTCCTGGATCAAGGTGAGGGGGTGGCACAAAGATCGCAACGTTGAAGACCCTAGTCTCATCGCGTGGCATATGTTTTTCTTAACCACTTATCGCATAAATAACTGCGTTCGCAGCCTGTGTGTGTGTCATTTCTGGGCTAGCCCTGGTAATTTCTAAGGACATGCTTCATTGTGTTCATCAAGGAGTTGCTCCAATTGCGATTGCTTCCTTAGTGACTCACCACTATGAGGACGCTGTGCCTGGCCTCACCTTGGAAGGCCTCTCCCAGCTGCTTCAGACAGAAGCTTTTTCTCATTACAAAGACTGGTGCCGCAATCGGAGATTGCCGCGCAGCAGCAGCACATTTACATGCGTGAAGTTTGGAAGGGAATCCTGGCAGACTTACCCGGAGCTCGCTTCTTGCTACAAGGGCGCAATGGTGAAACACATGATCTATTGGGCTGCCACATTTTTGTTTGAATGCACGCGAGAGAATGACACTCCGCAATCCCGCTTGCGAGCCTACACTGCTTTCGCGCTTGCCCAATTCCAGTTTCTGCAAGACTGCAACGGCCCGTGGTTCACCCCTGAGACAGCCGAGGAGGTTTGCTATTTCGGGAGGACCTTCCTTCTTCTCTACCAAAAATCAACAGTGGAGGGTCGAGCTGCTTTTCCTTCGAGAAAGATGTACAAACTTGTTCCGAAGTTTCACAGCCTGCTTCACATGTGCCTAGCGGTGCGCAGCACAAGGCGTAACCCTAGGTACGAGCACCTTTACATGGAAGAGGATTATATGAAACACATATCCAAGATTTGCAGTCGGTGTCATCCGTCCACAATGGACAAGGTTTGTCTCTTTCGGTACCGAGCCTTTTTGGAGTTCTGCAGCTAAGGGTCCCGGCCCGTAGCCCCGCCCAGCGTGCCACAAATGCAGCGCGCAGCCGCCCGTGCATTTCAACACTGCTTTGCCCTGACTGGCTTTGACTTTGCAAAGTAACACCTGTGCAATCTTTTGCTTCGAGCCTTGAGCCTTTCAGATTGATCTGCCAGCGTCTGCGACTTGGGTAAACGATGGCCCCAATCTTGGCCCCTGCAAATGGATTGTTTTCGTGGGAAGTGCTTTCAACAGTGCAACTTTAAGCCCCCCTGTCTTGGGTTTTGCAAACCCGTTCTTCGTGGGTAGATGCTTCGACAAGCTTCGGTCGCTTCAAACTTTGCCTATTTTTCATTGGGATTCAAGCAGATAAGGTTAAACGATAGGGAAGGGGTATCTTTAAGGGCAAAACTGTTTCCCCCAAGCCGGTCTTTCGTCAACCATTTTTCCCCAACAGCTGAAAGCTTTGGGGTCTCAGCCCAGATAGGCTCCGGGGTGGTCCGAGGCGGGTCTGGGGAAAGGTACAAGGGTTCCACCAGGGTTCCACCAGGTTCCATCAGGGTTCCACCAAGGTTCCACCATGGTTCCGCCAGGGTTTCACCAGTTCTGACAAGGGCTGCGGGGTGGTCCGGGGTGGTTTTGAGGTATCACCTGAGCTTATTTCCTGGGTAAGTGTTCATGATAGTCCTTTCTCTTCCACAAAGGAACCAACGTGTACGGTTATTGCTTGGGGTCGATCCTTGCCCCTATCATCACTATCATCAATCCACATGTGGTAGCGGAGCTGGGTTTTCTACAATAGGACGTGTCGTCAGATGTGCTTCACCCGCACGACAACAAAAACCATGAATGTGTCAAAAAGCCACATCCGTGCTCTTCAGCGTGCGAACATGCGCTTTACACAACTTCTGGTTCTGCAGGCAGTGGAGTTACATTTGATGTTCATCTGACGACCGAATCCGGCGGGCTCGATTGGAGAGCCTCATGGCCCAACGACGGAAATATTTTTGGTATGGATTTTGCCGCATGGATGCCAGGGCCACCCGCCCCGTCATCTTTCCCGCAATTCCAAAGCCCAAAACGGGCTGCTGGAAGCGATGAATTCATGCTACCTTTATCGATTGAGAATCTCAATCCTGACGTGGCCAGCCGTAACGTCAGGCCAAGGCCGTCGGTGAACCCGACCATGAGGAACATGTCCCCTCCCCCAGGACTTTCAGGATTTGAGAGCCCTAGGGAGCGTAATATCGTAGATAGATTGGATCTGCATCCCAGTCCGACCCCGAGCAAACGATCAAGGTCAAATTCGACTGGATCGCATAGGGCAAGGGGGATGGATCGGGAAACCGCCCACAGGGGTAACCCCAGTGCGCGGGACTCAGGACGCGGTCGATCAGGTGATCCAGCGTCAATCATTGGTAGAGATCCGCTAAACGCGGACACGCTCGTTAACGTGCTTGATGGAATCGAGGCATTCCAGGAGGAATTTAATAGGTCGAGTGGCATGAGCGCACAAGGTGTTCGCCCTACGCCCAACGCGGCTTCCATTTTCGCCCTAGACGACATGGACGGAGCTAATGTTCCGATAGAATCTGAATCCATGATGGCATCAAGTTCTAGTCGCAATCATACCATCAGTAATGCGACTGATATTGAATCGATGTCTGAGTCTAGAGTGTCCAATGCGACCGACTTGAATGACATTGTCATTGCTGACTCGAGACCTGATGTTCCTATGCGAATGGATAGGCCTGTTGTTCCTAAACTGCCCGTGGCCAAAGGCCTGGGCATGACACAACCCTCTGCGGTTCGTGATGCTAGGAGATCTGCTCCGTATCAGAGTCAATCTCCTAATCGGAGTGAGTTCCCACGGCCATCAATGGCCGTGCAGGATGATTTCAGAACTCCTCCGAGATCTAATCCAATCATGGTTGATTTATCCACTCCTCGAGATCGCGGATCAGGATTTGGTCCTACAAGTGAGGAGCAACCCAACGAGGTTGCTGATCTTGTAACAGCCCTTGAAAGAGGGAGAGTGGACTCTTCGGTAAGTGCGATTATTCATCGCCTGGTCGCTAAGGTCGAAGACCTTGGGCGTAGGAATGATAGAAGTGATCAATGCATCGAACAGCTCTCCACTGAGGTTAACTCGTGGAGGGCCAAATACGACCAATGCGTCCATGTGAATAGCACGTGTACGCAGGCTGCGAACGCGGCCATGCAGCTGTCACAAGGGACTAAGGACATCGTGACCGAGCTTGGCCAACGCGTCAAGATCGTTTCCAATCGCATGATAAGCATAGGCGATGCCCTAAATGAGCGAGCCAGCTATGATGATGTTGCTCGCTCCATCACCCAGGTTCAAACTGTTTTTGAATCTCTTTCTGATCGAGTAACCGGGCTTATAGCTCGTGTTGATATGATCGAGAGATCTCTAGTGGAGAGCCAATCCAACCATCCTG